GAATGAGTAGGACATAGGCAATAATTCTTATCTGGAGCCCACTTAGCAACCTCACTTCAGTATCATACTTCCCATGCTGCTAGGCCATGGCACCCAACATGTGCTATATGTGCCACATATGTCCAGGGCTCCAGACAGCTGATCCCTTCTTGAAAACACTGTTTCTGTGTTTTTCTAAGCTAGTCAATATATGGAGAAGGCAGCCTCTTGTCAACATCTTAGAGTTTGGCCATAATTAGCAATAGTTCTCAACAAGTACAAGGCAGTGACTGAACTTTTTTAGAGACTTCTACATTGCATTCTATAAATATAGAGAATTACATATATACTAGAGGCCCGGTGCATGGATATATGCACTGGTGGGGTCCCACAGCCTGGCCTGCACTCTCTCACAATCCAGGACCCCTCAGGAGATGTCGAACTGCTGGCAGTCTGACATCCCCTGAGGGATGTAGTAGTAAGCAAAGCGGCAGGCAGCCAGGGAGGAGCCCAAGCCTGGGCCGGGGGGACCGCGCCCTGCTGCTCCAGCTCATCCTGGCCCCGCAGAGCCTGCTGCCGCTCAGTAGTGCTGCCTTGGAAGCAGGAGAGGCTCGCACCTCCACAGTGGTACTCACCAGCCGTGAGACCAGTGTCTGGTGCCCATTGCTCAGCTGAGCAGCAGCGCTCCTGCTATTGGAGAGCGCTGACCACCAGAGGGAAGCTCCTGTGTTGAGCGTCTGCCCCCTGGTGGTCAGTGTGTGTCATAGCGACCAGTCGATTGGTTGCTTAGTGTTTTATATATATAGACTAGAGGCCCAGTGCACAAAAATTTGTGCACTTGGGCAGGGGGGTGTGCCTCTGCCCAGCCTGTGCCCTCTCACAGTCTGGGACCCCTCGGGGGATGACCACCTGCTGTCTTAGGCCCGTTCCCCCAGGGGATTGGGCCTAAGCTGGCAATCAGACATCCCTCTGGCAGCCCAGGAGCCCTCTGGGGATGTCCACTTGCTAGCGGGAAGCAGGCCTAAGCTGCAGTCGGACATCCTTAGCGCTGATGAGGAGGTGGGAGAGGCTCCCACCACCACTGCTGTGCTGGCAGCTGGCAGCCTGGCTTGTGGCTGAGCAGAGCTCCCCCTGTGGGAGTGCACTGACCACCAGGGGACAGCTCCTGCATTGAGTGTCTGCCCCCTGGTGGTCAATGTGTGCCATAGTGACCAGTCATTCCCAGTCGTTCTGCTGTTAGGGTCAGTTTGCATATTACCCTTTTATTATATAGGATTAGAAATCAGAATAACAGATATATTTGAGTATATTTTTAAAAGAACTGCTCATGTATAGATAATTTAGATTTGAAAACATAGTTACACTAGTTTAACATAATAGAAATACATTGTTAAACATATTTAGGAATATAAATGATTGTGTTTTTTATTGTCCTTGATATCTAAAATGAAAGTTTATAATAAGCATGATATAGTAAGTTTTAACTTTTATTCTAATTTCTGTTATTTTCCTTCTTACAAAAATTCAAAGTGAGCACACACATAAATATTCAATAAATAATTAGATTCATATCACTTCATACTTCTCATACTCACCACTTAATTTGGGGCAATGCTCTTTTATGGACACTCAAGCTGGAGGAAAAGCGAAAATGGGAAGATCACCGGCCATCTCCAGACTTGTATTGAAGTCTGTTGTAAGACTGTGTAATTGAGTTTTCATTCCCTAATGACACCATTTATATTTCATGGAGAGAACATTGATAAATTATTCCCCAGGATCCAGGGTTATTAATATTAACCTCCCTGTCCTCAGCTGGGTCTAAATCCATGAGCAGCCCCCGTGGGAATTTTCTTCGTGAGTGCAGAATTTCAGATGTATAAGAACTTTTCTTTATTACTATCTACTTCAAATGTCACCTTCCTTATCTGCAGGTCATTTCCTTGTCTACATGGACATTCAGAATAATTTCCTTCCTCCAATTACATTTTGTTCCTTGAAAGTATTTTATAATCGGAGTGCATGTTGCTCTCTCTTTCTGAGGCTTTTTTTATTTCAGGAAAATGTATGAGTCCTCTCTAGTTTAAGCATCTGGATCTTGTGTCCTGCTACTTGTTCTTGTATATTGTCAGTGTAGAGATAATAAAGTAGCATTATGTTCTAAGTGGAGAATCTAGGGATAAAAGCCAGGCTAGTTATAGTTTTCCTCATCCTGCTATGGATCCAATTTCTAAAATGTTTTAATGTCTGAATAAAGATTTGGAAACTTAGAAATCTAGCTGATACAGTAACTATAATAAAAATTAGACCATTAAAATTTTACCTATGTGATTTAAACATTTCTATAAAATGAACCAAATCACTATTTTTTTGACTTGACTTGTTGACATTATAAATGTTTATTTGCCCTGTTAGCTGATCCCATAAATGTCTTGTGGGTCTTATGTTACCCAAGAGGCTTTCCATTTTAATTTTTAGTTTACTATTTGTACTTCTATTTACTTTTCCTCAAAGTCCACATCTATTTTTAATTATGTTATCCCACTTTGATTTTAAATTTTAGCATGAAAATTCAATTAACACATTGTTAATGAAAAAGAAAAAGAAAACAGGAAAAATGCAGGTTTTAAAAGGTTAGTTTAGATTATGGGCTTTATAAAAGTATTTACTCTGGTTGGGGTAATTCTTTAGTGTTACCTATTTATTAAGTTTCAAGGGTCCATAACGTTTTTTTATTGTCATTTGGCACATTTAATTTTTTAAAAAATATCTTTTAATTTCAGAGAGGAAGGGAGCGGGAGAGAGATAGAAACATCAATGATGAAAGAGAATAATTGATTGGCTGCCTCCTTCACACCCCTCACTGATTGAGCCTGCAACCCAGGCATGTGCCCTGACTGGGAATCAAACTGTGACCTCCAGATTCATAGGTCAATGCTCAACCACTGAGCGACACCGGCCAGGCAACACATTTAATTTTTTTTATATATTTTATTGATTTTTTCAGAGAAGAAGGGAGAAGGATAGAAAGTTAGAAATATCGATGAGAGAGAAACGTCGATCAGCTGCCTCCTGCACACTCCCTACCGGGGATGTGCCTGCAACCAAGGTACATGCCCTTGACCGGAATCAAACCTGGGACCCTTGAGTCCACAGGCCGACGCTCTATCTACTGACCTAAACCAGTTAGGGCGCATTTAATTTTTTAAAAGTAAATGTGTCCAGAAAATAATTTTTTAGATGTAGACAATATTGTTCTAAAATGTCATGGAAAAGCAAAAGACCTAGAATAGTTTAAATAATTTTGAAAACAAAACATGTGTAACTCACTTAATATTAAGGCCTAATATATGTCTGCAGTGACCACACAAAAGAAGGACAGACACACATACCAATGGAACAGAACACACAGAAAGTCACCCAACTAGTTTTTGACAAAGGGACAAAATCAACTCAATGGAGCAATTAAACATCTATAGATGAAAAAATGAGCCCCAACCTTATAGAAAAATTAATTCGAAAGAATCATGAATTTAAATGTAAAATGTAAAGCTATACAACTCTTAGGGGGGAAAAATTAAAACACGGGGACAAAACTTTGCTACCTAGACCCCAGAAAAAAGTTCTTAGACTTTATTTCAAATACATGATTCATAAAAGCAAAAATCAACAGGTTAGACTTCATCAATAAAAAAACTACAAAGTGGGAAGAACTATATATCCATCAAAGGACTATTATCTGGAATATTTAAAGAATTCTCAAAACTTAACAATCAAACTCTAATAACCCAATTAGGAAATGAAGTAAAAAGGGAAGAGACATTTCACCCAAGAGGGTATAATGAGAGCAAATAAGCACATTAAAAATGTTCAACATCATTAGTTATTAGGAAATATAAATTAAAGCCACAATAAACTATTACCGTGCACCTATCAGAATGACTAAAATAAAATAAAAATACTGACAACACTGAATGCTGGTGAGGATGTAGAGAAACTGGACAGCATATATTGCTGGTGGGAATGTGAAATGGTTAGCAGACAGCCATTCTAGAAAACATTTTGGTAATTTCTTTTAAAAATATACAAATACCTAGATCAGGGTTGGGTGCAGGCTAGAAGGAGTCAATGGAGGTAAAAGGGGGACATCTGTAAGACTTTCAACAGTAAAAATAAATTAAATATACATATGTATATAAAATATATATGTACACACACACACACACACACACACACACACACACACACAATTATCATGTGCCTTGGTGATTTCAGTCCTGGAAACTTATCTTGGAGAAATGAAAACTTAAGTTTACAAACACAACAGCCTTATTCATAATAGCCCAAACTGGAAACAACCCAGATGTCCTTCAATAGGTGGATGGTTAGACAAACTATCAAACATCCATACTATGGAATACCTCTCAGCAATAAAAGGGAACGAATTATTGATATATTTAGCCACCTGGATGAGTATCCAGAGAATCATGCTGGGTGAAAAAGCCAATTCTAAAAGGCTATATACTTCTTGATGCCATTTATATAACATTCTTGAAATGGCAACATTATAGAAATATAAAATTGATTACTGGTTGCAAGATATGAAAGAGAGAGTTTGTCAGAGGGACTGTGTAGGAAGAAAGTAGATATAGTTATAAAAGGATGACATGGGGGATCTTTGTGGCAATGGGAATGTAGATCTTGACTATCTCAGTGTCAAAATCCTGGTTGTGATATTGCACTAGAATTTGCAAGATGTCATCATTGGAGGGAAAGGGCAAACAGAAAGTCTGTTATTTCTTACAACTGCCTGTGAATCTATCATTACATAATTATAAATGAAAAGTTTAATTTTAAAAAGGTAACTGTGTTTGAAAAGTTATTTTGTTTGTTAGTAAATCATAAAGATAAATTCAATTAAATGAGAATTATGATGTTTATTCATTCTCTCTCTCTCTCTCTCTCTCTCTCTCTCTCTCTCTCTCTCTCTCTCTCTCTCTCTCTTTGGTTTTCTCTGAAAGGTCTGCGAGGAGCCATAGCATTTGCCTTAGCTATTCGGGACACAGGATCTCAGCCCAAACAAATGATGTTCACCACCACACTGCTGCTTGTGTTCTTCACAGTCTGGGTGTTTGGAGGAGGAACGACCCCCATGCTGACTTGGCTTCAGATCAGGTTAGGGGCACTATTTAAGGGAGGACACCTGAGGAGGCATGGCTGGGCAGTTCCAGTCTGTAGTTGCTGACTTGCTCAAAAGTACCATGGCAGGTCTGTGTGCTAATTGCCCAGGGAAAAGTGCACAGTCAGTCATAAGGTGACACAATATGATCTATCATCAACTGACCTGAATTTTCCAAGAGTCCTAGAAACCTCAGGGTGATGTCTGTTTATAGTATGTCCCTAGAAATGATTAATTTATCTATGAATTCCTCCATTCAACACTCTTGAGTACATTGTGGTTGGAGTTTACAAAAATGAGTAAGACACAGGTCTTGTTCTCAAGATGCTTACAGTCCATAAGGATTTATACAGAAAAATCTCTAATACCGAGGAGAAAGTGAATTAGTTTTATTTTTAATTTCTCACAGCACTTAAAATAGAACCAGGGACACAGGACATGCTTAAATATACTTGGTTAGTGAGCCATGTGTTTAGCCAGAGGGAGTCTACAGACACAGTCAGACAATGTTTAACTTGTGTCCGGGCCTCAGTAAGGAGCCCTCCAATTAGCAATCATCCAATCAATTGGATGATTACTGCTAACCTGAAGCATGCATGTAGCAGCTGAGGTAGTTGGACAAAAATTGATAGCTTGTGCCAATTGCAAAAATGGGTAAATCTATTTTTAATGCTATCTCTATTTAAGTGTTTCTTTGATCTGGATCCTCATTATCATATTCCAGAATGTAATGGTACTTCAGGTAAATCACATTTTCTTTCTCAAAGTCATATATCTTTATGGGTCACACAATCCCTCCCTGGATCCCCCATTCTCTGTAAGGAAAATTCACAACCATATCTGACTGCCTGAGAAAGGACTTCCAAGAAGATTCTTATAGACAAGGACTTTTATTCCAGCACCAATATAGTGCCTGGCACTTCATACAATTGAATAAATAATTGCTACATGAAAAATTAAAGGAATATAACCACAAATATAATATTCTTTTGTTAAGCATTTACTGATCATTTTCTACCCATTTGACAAAGAGAAAGCAGAAGCAGGAAGTTTATTTAGTATAAGTCGTTTAGTATAAGAAAGCTTATGCCTAAACTGCCTAAGCTGGGCCAAGTGGCTATGCATTAAAACAAATTCAAGGGGAAAAAGGACCTCTTGATGTATTGTGAATACTGGCTAAGCTTATAAAAGGGCTTTGACAAAAGGTAAGTGGAGAGGTTATGAAATGTTTGTTGAATTATTTTCTAGCATAAAAGTGTGACCTGCAATTTCTTTCCCTGTGGCAGCTACCCATAGGCTCCTATGATAGGCACACACATTGCACTAAACTCTACAGCACCAGGTCCCTGGAAACTGTTAAGAATGAGGTGTGTCCAGATTTCTGGAAAATAAAATTCAGCAGATAGATTCATGTATGGAAAAATTAGGGCTTGGAAAACAAAAATTAGAGGATACTAAGCCCACAAGATAAAAGTATCAAATGTACTATCAGGTAAATTAGAGTACTCAGAAAATGAAGTGGTGTCAATATTTCTTAAATTAATGCAAATGTAACTTATTTTCTACGATTGTCTTTCATTATCCTGAAGAGATTGTCCCCAAATCAGTAATTAAAGTATTTACCCAACTCTCCTCTAGGGATTTCCAAAGGGATCCCCTGACTCCACACAGTGCCATAACTTCTGCAGTCTCTTATATCCAGGTGGGCAGGGAGAGTGAGCTGTAACAATGGGCTCTAGGCAGGTTAGGTCAATTATCTAGGTTAAAGGACAGAGCCTAATAAGGAAAGATGGTGACATCGACCACAACCTTCACAGGTGAGGGGCTGGAGTCAACTTAGCCAGCTCTACATGGCCTCCTGGGGCACAGCATGAGGTTGCCTAGTCAAGAAGATGCCCCAGTAGGAACTGGCTTCAAATGGCCTAACTGATTCAATGCCAGGCTTGGCCACCAGCCAGAAAGGGAGAGAAATAAAGGCAGGGATTGATGTATTTAGGGAAAGGAGCTGGCAGGGCTCCAATCTGATAAGCAAGGTGTTAATCTCAATTGGGAACTAAAGTGTTCATCTGAAATCAGGGAAGAAACTCAGTCAGACAGAACAGGGCCCAGTCATGAGGAAATCAGAGGAAGAAAAATAAAAATTATACATACCTCAGTATGCAGGAAGTCAATGCAGGCAGACAGGGTACAGGCAAAATTAAAACCAATGGCCCTCAAGGTTGACTGAGCATCAGAACCAGCTGGAGGTTTCAGTAACCCCAAACCACCAGGCCCACCTCTAACAGTCTGCGTCAGGGCCTGAGAATGTGCATTTCTTCCACATGCCGGGCAATGGTGCTGCTGCTGGTTCCAGGATCACACTTTGAGAACTTCCTAACCCCAAGTGGAGATGGGGCTAATATGAAATGCCACCAGATCTGAATGGGGTTGCCCAAGGCCAGGCACACCAAGCTTTCAGCTTAAACTCCTAAGCACTGATATTGGAGGAAGTCAGGGGCTAACTTGAGGAGTAAGAGTCACTATGCATTGATTAATGGAGGGAAATAGAGCATCTATCTATATAAAAACCTAAGCAACTGAACGACCAGTTGACTGGTCACTATGACTAGCTCTGACCACCAGGGGATGGATGCTCAATGCACAGGATCGGGCTCCCTTCTGTCTGGATTGGGCCTGTGAGGATCTAGCCGAAACCGGTTATCCAACATCACCTGAGGGGTCCCAGACTGGGAAAGGGAGCAGGCCAGGCCGAGGGACCCCACCCATGCACCAGGCCTCTAGTAATACAATAAACATAAAAGAACAGGACATAAATTAAAGTGTGTACAAATGAATATCCAAGTGTAACATAAATTTGGCTCAACCATGTTACACTGACACCAGCATGTGCTCTGCTTCACTGTCGCAGTTCAGAGAGAACATCAAAGAAACCCTCCATTCCACTAAAAATTCTATTTATTTGTTTATTTTTAATTTATTGGGGTGACACTAGTTAATAAAACAGTTTCAAGTGTTCAACTCAATAGCACATCATCTACACACTGCACCATGTGCTCATACCCTGAGTCAAGTCTGTTTCTGCCTCAACTTGCCCCGCTTTGCCCTTTTCTGCCTCCCCAACCCCTCTCTCTCTGGCAATCACCATACTGTTATATATATATATTCTTAATCCCTTCATCTTTTTTCACCCAATCCAACACCCTCCCATATGACAGTTGTCAGTCTGTTCTATGTATCTATGATTCTGTTTCTATTTCATTTGTTAAATTATTTTGTTTATCAGATTCCACCTATAAGTGAGATGAAAGTTAACTGTCTTTTAGATTATATTTAGCAAAATCTTCCTTGTTTACATAAAAATATTTCATTAACCAACTTCCATATCAAACTGTTTGCATAAAATAGAAGAATATTAATAATTGGGGCTTTAATACAATAACAATGTGGAAATTCAGGGACAAGAATGCGAATGGAATATTGAATGAGCCCAAGTATCCTCGCTCACTGTGTGATTTATATACTTTGCATTGCCTTTAATTCTTGATGTTTTAATTCTACTTTTTTTCCTCTTAAATTATTAGACGTAAATTTGAGTTGTTTACCAAAAACTTGAGTTGACTTTTTTATTCCTATAAAATTTGCCACTTAGTCATAAACTACTATAGTAGGATGCAGATATAGTGTTTTATATAAGGAAAAAGTTATACTACTAATATGAATTGAACTTTGATGGAAATGAATGTAAAACAATAATGGTCTTGTGCTCAGAGAAATTTGAAACGATCTTTACATATGAAATAACTTCTCCATTGAATTAAGTCTTATCTTAGGCACATTCAAACTTCTTGTCCTAAAGCTGCTTTATTTTAGTTTCAAAATAATATAATATTTTATTTTATTTTATTTTATTGTATTTTTTGTTTGTTTGTTTGCAAGGTGAGGAGCTTTTATTTATTTTTTTTTAATTTTTTTTTTATTTTATTGCTTAAAGTATTACAAAAGGTATTACATATGTGTCCATTCCCCCCCCCTCCCTAGACAGTCCCCTAGCCTCCCCTATCCCCCAGTGTCTTATGTCCATTGGTTATGCTTATATGCATGCATACAAGTCATTTGGTTGATCTCTTACCCCCCTACCTCCTGCCCCCCAACCCTCCCCGGCCTTCCGGCTGCAGTTTGACAATGTTTGAGGCAGCTCTGCCTGTATCTATTATTGTTCAAAAGTTTATAATGGTCTCTATTATCCATGAATGAGTGAGATCATGTGGTATTTTTCCTTCATTGACTGGCTTATTTCACTTAGCATAATGCTCTCCAGTCCCATCCATGCCATAGCAAATGGTAAGAGTTCCTTCCTTTTTAGAGCAGCATAGTATGCCATCGTGTAGATGTACCACGGTTTTCTAATCCATTCATCTACTGATGGGCACTTAGGCTGTTTCCAGATCTTAGCTATGGTGAATTATGCTGCTATGAACATAGAGGTACATATATCCTTTCTGATTGGTGTTTCTGGTTTCTTGGGATATATTCCTAGAAGTGGGATCACAGGGTCAAATGGGAGTTCCATTTTCAGTTTTTTGAGGAAACTCCATACTGTCTTCCATAGTGGCTGCACCAGTCTGCATTCCCACCAGCAGTGCACAAGTGTTCCTTTTTCTCCACATCCTCTCCAGCACTTGTCGTTTGTTGATTTGTTGATGATAGCCAGTCTGACAGGTGTGAGATGGTACCTCATTGTTGTTTTGATTTGCATCTCTTGGATGATTAGTGACTTTGAGCATGTTTTCATATGTCTCTTGGCTTTCTGAATGTCCTCTTTTGAAAGGTGTCTATTTAGGTCGGTTGCCCATTTTTTAATTGGATTGTTTATCTTTTTTTAAAAAAAAAATATTTTTTATTGATTTTTTACAGAGAGGAAGGGAGAGAGATAGAGAGTTAGAAACATCGATGAGAAGAAACATCGAACAGCTGCCTCCTGCACATCTCCTACTGG